GTTCTTCTTCTTTTGGATTATAGTTCTCAAGATCTCACAGGTGACAGTCCTGTAACCCCAACTAACTTTTAACTCATTTAATTAGAGCGGTTGTTTTACAAGTGAAGAAATCCGACTTCTCTCTTGGACAGGTATATCAAACACATTTTTACTGAAGGCCACATCAACCTTAAGGTTGCCTTCAAAGGGCCATTTTCAAATTTTAAGACTGTATAAATGTGGCCCTGTCATTGAACGCCTAACACATGGCTCCATATACATATATATAAATAACAACAATAGAAAGATGAACCTATGTTGCCTTGTCATTGGACTCTCTCTCTCTCTCTCTCTCTATATATATATATATATAAAGAGAGAGAGAAAAAACACTATGGACTTCATCTTAGGCAGTATTTTCTCTGACTTCTCTCAATTTCTCTGCACTGCCGAAACAGAGTATCACAGGCCATCGCATGACACAAGGCCAATTCTACTGGTTGACCATAGGACTCTGTTGTGGCAGCTCAAAGAAATGAGGGGAAGACTGTATTTTCAGGAGTCAGGTGCTACTTGACTCCCAACAACAGAAGCCAGATAGCAGGCAAAGTATGTGGGATGCCATCTCTGAAGACGGAAAGGCATAGGACTTTGACAGTAGGAAATGAAAGAATACAGTTCCATCTGTTTCCCCCACTTTCATGTGATGAGGTCCTATGCTAATCTGGCATTGACAAACAAACGAAAGATTGATAGAACTATGCTGGTATTGGTATTGAAAGCCTAAAACACCTCTGACATGAAAATCACCAAATCTGGGGAGAGAGTGGATGAGCTCCCTCTGTCAGCTCTGGCTCCCCATGTGGGGACATGAGAGAAGCCTCCTACAAGATTGGTAAAACATCAAAACATCTAGGCATCCCCTAGGCAACGTACTTGCAGACGGCCAATTCTCTCACACCAGAAGTGACTTGTAGTATCTCAAGTTGCTCCTGACACACACACACAAAACACCTACTGGTTACAAAGGTTGGTTCAAATCTCATTATCCACAAACTCTGCAGGGAAGATCAAAGTGTGGGAGAGGGAGCCATCTTTCTTCAAAATCCCCTTCCTTATTTGGGCTACAGGATAAGGACCACTGTAGGAGTAGAATGGACCAATACCTAAAGTATTCACCCCAATCCCATTTCTGACCCTTCAGGGTTTGAAAGCTGCCTTGACCTGGGGGCAAGAAGAGAGAGGCTACCACCTCCCTTGCATACTGTACTTGCTGGAGCCCCACCCATATATTCAAGCCCCAACTGGGAGAGGTGATCTGCATCTTCTCAGTGCAGCCAGAGCAACAACAATGCCCTTTTTGTTGTTGCATCTATGCTCCAAAACCAAAGCAGAACAAAGACAAAACAGAATCAAATCAGAAAGACTGATGAAAAAGGAAATGCTTTAAACTTCTGTTCCTAATTTGGTATTCTCCTAACATGTTGGACAACCATTTCCTAGAATTCCTTAGCAGACACAACAATCTCTTCTATTTCCTGCTATTACAAATGTTCCCCCTACAGCACTTTGTTAGACATGGGTTGGCAGTAGAAACCAGGGTTTGATTCCCTACTTGACTGCCAAAAACCGGTTAGGTGACCTTGGGCGAACTCTTAACTCCAGAAAACCTAATGGCAAATGATTTCAAGGCACAAAGCAGCAATAAAGCTAACCTTAGAATGTCAGGTCATTGTATTCCCTGTGGTTTAACGGTTTGAGCATTGGACTATGGCTCTGGAGGCCAGGGTTTGAATCCTTGGTTAGTCATAGAAACACATTGGTTGATCTTGGGCAAGTCACACTTCCTCAGCTTCAAAGTATATAAAAGGCCAAACCCCTTTAAACAAATAAGAAAACCCAGGCCCCTTCTACACTGCCATATAAAATCCAGATTATCTGCTTTGAACTGGATTATTTGGCAGTGTTGACTCATATAATTCAGTTGAAGTCAAATCATGTGGATTATCTGCTTTGATAACACTGTTCTACAAATTTTCAGTTTTTCTCAGTTCCGGAAACGAAATGTGCCGTTTCTTAATAAATTTAACACGCTGAATTCAAATATAATAATTAAATGTGTTAATTAGCTCTGGTTTTTATGCAACAGCTATTTCAATTTTCTCCACAATAGGTAATTTGTTAATATTATGATAATGCGCCTAACCTTACTGCATGTATATAAACCGTGAATATTTACTAAATTTTAGTCAAATTATATTGCCAATAGTTTATACATGAGAAATATTTAATTAGTCTATTGTTTATGTTTGTGCAGCAAGAAACTATATTAGTAGGCCTAATGCAGTTGAAAAGTCTGAAAGTTTAAATGTCGCTTTAATCGTGACTTTAGTTTTTATCCTGTTTGCTTCTCTTGACTTTTCTTTTGTATTCAAGGAAAGGATTGTCTCTTACAATGCTCCAGCAGTAGTCTGACAGCATTGACGGAGTCCATTTACCTTGATATCTTTTTTCCATAGTGCTTTATTTACACACGTGCGAGGCATAACTACAGTAAAAAGAACAATGTAAAACGATGTTTAACGATACTGTCTCAGTCTTCAACTGACTGACCCCGTTCAAAAGTCTGGCCTTATATAGGGCTTTCTGGCTTTTGCACACGGCACTAATACTGCGTCATCAAACTTTCTAGAATATTCTAGAATCTTCCATAGTGTAAGTCGCAACATGCATTTTTTCAACCATACGTGATCACGTGATTGCTTATATCATAAAAACTAGAGCCAATATACATTTTTAAATGTCATTTTCGTTTTCAGCACCCCAAAATCATAAAAGAACAACTATTTTCAGGCCCGCAACTTTTTCTCCGTTGAACAGTGTAACCTGGATTATATGGCAGTGTAGAAGGGGTTCCAGTGAGAGAGTCTGCCTCTGTAATAAGAAATTCAATGATAAATGTGAATTTAATATATGTGTGTGAATGAATGGAAGAATGGAAGGATGTATGGATGGAGCGAATAATTTTGGAAACATCAGTAAAATATTAAGGCCTGCAATGACTGACTACCCACTTGCTGGACTGTAATTAAAAGTTGCTAATGAGAACTGAAAAATAAACTCTGATAAGGACTGTGACAATGGTTCAAGTTAAGAGAAATGTTTGCAACATTCCTTATGTTAAGAAGGCAGTCAACACAAGCCTTGTGTTTGTCAACACAAATCAAGAAGAATCAACATCTAGCCAGGAAACTGAGATGGAGCCAGGATGGAAGACATTTATCATTAATTTACAACTTTGGGACTACATCAGCAAAATATTCCTATAAAAGACTCAATCTAATAATGCTCAAATTGTGACAGACCTGAGGAGTCTGGTTCACTCACCTCTCTGGTCCATCGGCAGGACAGAGATGGTGTATTCGGAGTGTGTCAGATATGCTATGGGAAAGCATGATTCTGTACACTTTGAGACTTCTTTCTCAAGGGAAGAGGAATAAGTGCACTTTGGGGATCTTGGATTTTGTGCAGGCAGTCAGGTTCTGCTGTATGGAAAACAAAGATCTGGTCCTTGGCATTGTTCTTAGGGAAAGAAGTTTTGTCATGTTGGCATTATGGAAGTTTTGGAACTGTGCATTGGCAGGCTGCAGGGAAGCAGGGCCTGTCTTAAACAGGTGCTTCTCGAAGGAGGGAGAAAAAGATATGGTAATATTTGGATGCATGATGATGGATGCATGTATATTTGTGTGAATGATGATTGGAAATGTAACTCCCCTTTGTTTATTAGCCATGTGATTGTAAATCCTATATAGTTGCATAGAATCTATATGTATGTATTTCTAATGTCATCCTTTGTGTAAAAGTTCTGTAATCTGATATACCCTCTCACACTGGAAATTGCAATAAAAAGAACATATGCTTTAAAGTTATTGAAATGTTATTAATGACAAATTGGTGCCCGAAGTGGGATATTCTTTTCCAGTGTGGGAGAGTTATTCAAAACACCTCGTGGTCATCATAAACCAGGAATGAACTGAGGGTACACAACAACTCCTCCTCTAGTGAGGTGTGTGTGTGTAGCTACCCTTCTGATCAATGCCTGTACTTTTAATTCCAGCTGGTGTTACTTGTCTGGCAACTAGGCAAGAAGCAACACTTGCGGAAGCTCCTGGTTCTGCACTATCATAGCAAAGACAGGAATTTCCCCAAGTTTCCACCCAGGTAAGCCTAGATATACATGCAATATCTTTCTAAGCCCAGTCCTCTATACCTTAAGGAACATCTTGCTCTGAGAAGGATTTTGTTCAGTCTTCTCATTTGGTGCCTTTTCAGTTTCTAACCAAGTCTTCAAGGACCTTTGCACTTCTACCTTTACCACTCTCTTTGTAAAGCAGTTTTGAAAATGTAAGAGATTGAATGGTTCAGTGTCTTTTATAAATCATTCACTCCACCTGGGGAGGAAGGAAAAAAGGGTAAAGAGCCCTACTCAGATCAGCTGAGTGTAATTGTGTCCATTTATTTCTTTATTGTAGTCTTAAGGGAAAAGAACTTTTTAAAAGGAAGAGAGGAAAGGAGAGAGGCTGAATCATGTTGCAGTTAAAAATCTCTGCTAGGAGAACTCTGAAGACCCCCTGTTAGGTCAATAAGCTTTGTTTAAAAGAAACAGACAAAGTTCTCTGTGAGAGACAAGAATTGAGGTTCTTTATATGTAAGAGAAGAGAAAGGAGAAAATAGTTTTAAAATAATAAGCTTGCACTGGATTAAAGCGATGACCCTGTAGAGCTGGCACGAAAGTTCTCGATCTCCAAAGCAGTACCTGGTCCAGGAGCCTTTTTAAGCAGATACAAATGCCAGGTAGTTAAGCTGCTTCAGGGAACAAAGCCACAAAGGCTGCGAGTCCTCTGCCGCACCACTCTTGCACAAAGGCAGGTTTTCAAAATCCTCATTATGAGAATGTCTGCTGTACAGAAAGGAGTAATGATGGTTGTATGGACCTCTCTTTTAAACCAGACTGAATAGCATCACTGATCTTTGTCACTGCCATAGTCACCACCAAACATCTCTTGAGAAGCATAGGTCACATAGAGGAAGCCATCTTCATCTTTGTTGTCCCGATAGACCTCTGCAACTGTCATACTCTGGCAAGGCAGGCAATTGTTGTTCACCAGCAGATAGAAGGCCTGAGTCGATGTGAGGGACATACGGTTTCTGAAGAAGGGAAAGAAGAGGTATTAAGCTCATCACAAGAAGGGAAAAGGGTTAGATGGGAGCAGTGGCTCACTAGGCCACTGGTGTAGTGGAATCAGGGCACATAGGGGATCACAGACCCAGGACATCTTGTACAGCAGGGACAATGGTGTGAGATTATTCGATATGCCACCCCCGTTTTCCTGTTCTCTGTGAGATGCAATCCTTGTAGGAGAGATACACTGGAAATGAATTATTTCAACAATAACAAAATGTTCTCAACTGCACTGGTTGTATTTGAAGTATTTTATGAAATGGGGTGATCGTTCTGGGTTGGCCCTAAACAGTTCGGGTCCTGCCTATCTTTGTGATCACATATTTCCTTATGAACCTGTGCAGGCTTTAAGATCTCCAAAGGAGTACCTGATCCTCTTGCTCCCGCCACTGTCACAAGCATGGTTGGTGTGAACAAGGGAGAGGGCCTTCTCGGTGGTGGCCCCCCGACTCTGGAACTCTCTCCCTATGGAGATTAGATTAGCGCCCACCCTGTCCACCTTCTGTAAAAACCTGAAAACTTGAATGTTTCAACGTGCTTTTGATTAATCGGTTCATGTATTGACTACCCCCCCCCCCCCGCCTGCCCAGCCCTATTCATTGTCTGGGCTTGTAGCACTTTATTACTCACCCCACCCTTACTGCTGTATTGCACTAGCCCTTGCTCCACCCTCCTAGATCTGAACACACCCACTGTTCTCAGCTACTGCTTGATGGTTATTGTTGTACTTATGCTGTACTTATGTCTGTTGTTGGTTTTATTGTTTTAATCATTGAAATGTAATGTTTTTTTTAATTTGTGCTATATTTTATTTCTGTTTCTGTTGGGCTTGGTCCTCATGTAAGCCGCCCTAAGTCCCTTCAGGGAGATAGTGGCAGGATATAAGAATAAAGTTGTTATTATAATTATGGGTAAGGAAGACATATAGCCTTTATAGAAGGGCCATTCTGGATTGTTTTGAAAACCTCTACCGCTGTTTTCTTGATAGGGGTCCCTACAGCTGGTGGCATTTGAAAATGTTGTCATGTGGACTGGCATAATAAATCTAAGACTATTCCACAAGCACAGGAAAAAGTCAGATCTAAATCTATTGCGAGCTGATACCTGCAAGATGTGCAAGTAGATGAATATAGGCATGGCCACTTTCTGTGTTCTATGGCTATTCACAGGCACAGTCCCATTACTGATCAGTATGGGAATTTTTACTTGGTTCATCTTTGACCTGGGCCGATTCACCCCTCCTGAGGCAACCTGGCTGCCCCGGGCTTCGCGCAAACCCCTATATTGACAGCATACTTAGTGCCAACACCCAATCAGCATGGCCTGCAGCGGCTCAGAAGTCCTGAGCGTACAAGGCAATAGCATAGAGGATTTAGAACTTCCCTCATCACTATATCTGTAGGACTGATATCTGTGGTTTCATTTATCCACACTTGACAGAATATATCCTCCAATTTGACTCTATGGTATTCTTGGCCCAGTGGCGCAAAGGGTTAAACCCTTGTGCCAGCAGGACTAAAGACTGACAGGTCAGAGATTCGAATCCGGCGACAGCGCGCATGAGCTCCCTCTGTCAGCTCTGGCTCCCCATGCGGGGACATGAGAGAAGGCTCCTGCAAGGATAGTAAGAAATAAAAAAACATCTAGGTGTCCCCTGGGCAATGTCCTTGCAGACAGTCAATTCTCTCACATCAGAAGCAACTTACAGTTTCTCAAGTTGCTCCTGATATGAAAAAAAGGCCCAGAAATTCTTCATTTCAGTTGGGTTCACTATTATCTGCTGTTTCATGTATCGACACGAACTCGGGAATCATATTGTATCCTCCACAGATACAGGGGTTGTATTGTAGTAACAACATCATTTTCTACCTTATTTAGGTTGCCAGAATAAAGAAAGCCTGATTAGTTAGGAATGAATGTCTGTGAAAGGACTGTGAGCTCAGTTCTGTTTTGGCATTGAAAACAAATACCTGCATGTAGGCTCAGCATGCACTCAAAAGCACCTTATTCACTTATTCTATGGTATCTGACAAATTGGATCTAGCAAGAGTCATACTAGCTCATTCCCAAGCTGAACTATGGCAGGAGAGATTTACTTGCTAAAATACTGAATCAAGATTATGCTATGCATGCATTTTCACTTCCCAAGTATTGGCATACCAGTAGTTTTACATTAAGGGAGGAGTATTTGCTGCAATGAGACCATATTGCAAAATAAATGTACACAAACATACATACATCTTGCAGATGCAGGCGGCTCAATACTGAAACAGCAAATGGTGTTTGTATATGCAAACACCAGATGTATCAAGATGGATTTCCCTCAAAACATTATGTTCCATAGTGAAGTCTTCTCATGCATTTAAATACAAGTCATCAAGAGAGACAGACACAGGTGTGAACCAGACTAGACTTACTTCCTGATATAATTGAATTCTCTATATTTGGTAAATGAATGATCAGGGAAAAGCAGGGAATGAGGAGGGTTTGCAGAAATATTTTTGGGTGAATATCCATATTCTGTGGCCTGAATAGTATGAGTACCAAGTAGGAAAGATGCAGTAAATAAATAGAGAATCATGTCAATATATAGGCATATACTATCTATTGAGTGAATTACCAGGGACTAACATCCACTTTCAGGCCTATAACACACTTCTGGAGGGCATAATAGAAATATTGGATGTTTTCAAATGGCTGCAAGTTTTAACCTTCATGGAGTAAAGAAAAACGCAATCACATAGGGAAAATTTCTAATGACTAAGTTCAAATACAAATATATTAGTACCAGAGCCACTTCATTCCACGTTGAACTGGGAGGAAAATATGCATCTTATCAGAATCAGATAATTGCAAGCACACTGCATTTTGCAGTAGCTCAGTTGTAAGTGGCTTTGCAAAAAACCACAACAGCTTTGCACAAGACCATTTCCTGTAGCATCCTGTGCATGCTACAGAAAATGGGTTGTTGAGGACCTGAGCTTCAATATTTATCCTTACACTGTTCAGAACCTCCAAATCCTGCACTATTTGAAAACGCCTTCCTACCTGAGAGTAAAGATGAACTGAGATATGGATATATCCTCAGAAACCAAAAACTTGGTCCTGTCCAACTTAGGGAGAGACTTCTCCTTTTGGTAACGCTCCACTATGACCTGTAAACAGGACAGAAAAGTTTGAGGGTACTGGATGGAAAGTGACATGCGTAAACGAGAAGGCAAGGTGGCATTCTACACATGTGCTTGGATAATAAACTCCCATTGCCCGTCATTGACCAGTCTTTATTGGATTCCAGCAACTTTTGGAAGGACAGAAGTTTTGTGGTATGAACACTCCAGTGTTCTCATTTTGCTCTGAGATTTTCACAGTAATAAACAGCTAAGTAATGTCCAGTGATAACTGCTGTCCTCCATGCCAGTTGAACAGTGAATCTGATCTTGGTTTTATTGTGAAGGAGCTATCCAAGGTGCTTAATCGACTTTAGAGGTAACATTTAGCACCTTGGATAGCTCTTTTACCATTTCACCTAAAAACAGCAGTTGATTTACTTCCTCAATGATATAGAAGACATCACAGATAAATTGGAAAAACAGATATATGCTGGAGTCATGGAAGACTTAGCCTAAGGGAAGAAACCCACTTTTCTTCAGATAGAGTTTTTAATAGATTAGAAGAGCAGACTTGTTTTTTTTCTGTTCAGGATTTAGGTGAAAAAAGGCCCACTTCACTTGGTTTTATATATAGATTATGGTAGCATGGCATAGTAGTTTGAGTATTGGACTGTGGGACTTGAGAGATACAAGTTTAGGATTTTTTCCTACATCTGAATTAAAGTATTAAGGAGTGCTAAAATATCATCCTATGGAATCATGGAGCTTATTCTTTGGTCAGAGACACCAAAGGAGAAGCTTCCTTGCTGTGGATTCTAAAGACCCCTCCTCAGATCCCACAATTCCATAGGATGGAACCAAGCCAGTTATTACTGTTCTTTTAATACAACTATTTGCTATTTGGTGGAATTCTTTACCTAAAAATTGCTGCATCCAAAAAAGTTTTTAATACTTATATTTAATTGTTTAATATTTGTATATTCTAAAATTGTATTAAAATGCTTTTAATGTAAGATGCTTTGAGTCTCCTAGTAGAGAGAAAAAACAGGATATTATTATTAATAATAATTTCCCCATTTTATGAGGACACAAATACTTAAAGGAAAATACTTTAAGCAGGCTGGGAGGAAGGCTCAGAAAGCCCACTGGTGGCTTATGTGACCACCAAGCTGAACTATCTGCACCCTTAAAGTAAGACAAGGTAGACAAAATGAGGCTTACATTGGGTCTCAAGGTATGCACCTGAATAATTGATACAAGTCAGATAGCTGGATTTTGAAAGATTGATGCACCACTTCCACTAACTAAAGTTGCACTCAGATAGCTTAACACTTTTATTTTGGAATGGAGGACTTGGGCCCTCCAGTTGTGGCTAGACCACAACTCCCACAATCCTTCACCAGTACACTTGCTGGTTGGGTCAGATAGGAATCATAGGTGGAACTGAGGGGCAATACAGTCACCACCTCTGATTTATGTAATTCTGTGGAAAATTTGGCATGCGTACTCTGTCATTTTCAGCAACCATACAGTAGTCTGGTGTCCAGCATTGTGGTCTCTCTACTAAAGAATGGAACAGAGGGAGTTGGTAACTTCTCAAGGCAATAGATTAGCAAGACACGAAGGAGGAAAGGGTTCTGGCCTTTGAAAAGCTGTGTAGGAAAGGAAAATGCAGCTAGTGTTAACTTGTATGACAAATTACATCTACAAATTACATCCTCTTCTGCAAAGCTATTAAAGAGGCAGGCCACTGAGACACAGAATAATATTCTGGCACCTCTCTCAATTCTAGCTGCTTAACTACATCCGAACCCTATCAAATCAGTCATTTGGTTAACTTACTGTAGCGTATAGCCAAGGAATAGATGCTTTTTAGCTCTCCAGATGTTAGCTCTCCCATAATACCCTTTGGGCTACCTTTGGTAGGGGCTTCTGGAGCTGAAGTCTGATATAATATGAAAGCTCAATCCTTCTTGCCTTTGTAATTGCCAAAGCTCCATGGATAGTTTGCAAAAAAAGGGAACAAGTGACAGATTAAGGAGCATCACAAAATAATATTAAGTTGAGAACAAAAATAGCTCTCAGTCAGCCCCCATCCAGTTTAAGAGGGTGTGAAAAGCAATTTAAAAACCCTCTCAAAACAGAAGCTCTGATTTACTTGAAGCCTCCAGCAGATGCCATGGAACCATATGGACTACAGCTCCTAGACTTGTCTTAGCCAAACTGAGCAGATGCTGTGATATTTTGAGGGATTAAATATAAACTCAGCAAATTAGGGGGACCAGGCGGCAAGTAAGGCAAGAGATCTTAGGCTTGTAAGTAATCATTTTTGATGGTTCAATGTCTCTTTCCTCTACATGACCAGCTGTATTTTCCACTGAAGTATCTCTCTCACACACAGAGCAAGTATTGGCCTGACATATGTTGCTGGACTACAACTCCATTAACACCGGCCATGCTGAGAGGGGTTAAAGCAGTGGTTCTCAACCTGTGGGTCCCCAGGTGTTTTGGCCTACAACTTCCAGAAATCCCAGCCAGTTTACCAGCTGTTAGGATTTCTGGGAGTTGAAGACCAAAACATCTGGAGAACCACAGGTTGAGAACCACTGGGCTAAAGGGAGTTGCAGTTTGGAGGGCCAAATATTTTCCAGCCTCAACATACAAGAACTTCCTCAGTTGCATCTTGTAGATTTGCCAGAAGTTGAAGCAGACATGTAAATACCCCATAGGTAATGTAACCTATAATTTGTGAGCCTTTCAGAATTATATAGTACTTTGATTTCATTTTAGCTTCCATGAATTATAACTCTGTGACAGAAATGTCTAAATACCTCAAAATTCTATGGGATGTAACCATGACAGCCAAAGAGGGCTCAAAGTGTTATGATTGTGTAAAGTTGTACACACAAGCAAGATAAGGGAAGTAGCAAAAGATTAGAATCAAGTTTCCCACATGATGTGTATGCAGCCATCTTTTCTAAAGATCTGAGCCTAAAAAAAAACTTACTCAGAGTACTCAACAGGCAATCTGGTATAATACAAATATTTGAAATACAAGCCCCATAATTCTTCACCACTGTGTTCTAGTTGGTGCTAATGAGAGTCAAACTCCAAAACATGTTGAGGGTATAGATCAGGGGCAGATAACATTTGGCCCCCCATTTCATGGCCCTGCTCAGCATGGCTGAAAGTCAGATTCAGGCCCTGCCCCTCAGAGTCATGGTCTTTGCTCAAAAAGCACAGTTCTGGAAACCACTATACTGTGACCTTGATTGGTAGGATGGCAGACAAGATGGTGGATGACAACTCTTAGCAGCTCTTAGCCAATGCTGAGAAATGCTGGAAGTTGTATTCCAACCATATCTGGAAGCCCATGTGATTCCCATCCTGATTTAGGTCTTTAAGCAGATCAAGTCAGGTACATTCAACAAAACCTTTGAAGAACACAGCTTTCAATAGGAAATCTAAGAACCATTTCAATCTCTGCTGGAGTGTGGCTCTGAATGGGTCATAATGAGATTCACAAAAGGGTTTGAAGAATAATTTGATTTCATTTGAAGACTGTATATAGAGAGAAGCTGGATGGGACAGAAGACAGGGTAGCTGTGCAGCCAGATCACATTTTCTTATCCAAGTAACTTTACACTAAGATAAGGCAGCCACAATTATGTTTGCCTTCATTGTTCTTGTCTTAAATTTTAATTGCTGTTTTGAAAATACAGAGCTCCCACTACTGAGCAGTAAAGAGATAAGTATGGCTTAGTAATTGAATAAAATAAACCTTAATTTTTTTTTTTGGCAGAACTGGTATTTGACTATGACTCCCTGACTTCATTTGTGGCACGTTATTCCAGTTTACAAGTTTCCCAAACTAAGGGCCCTTCCACACAGGCCCTATATCCCAGGAACTGATCCCAGGTTTTCTGCTTTAAACTGGATTATATGAGTCTGCAATGCTGGATAATCAGGGATAAACAGAAAACCAGGGATATAGGGCCTGTCTGGAAGAGCCCTAAAAGTGTGTCCCTCCTAGACCAGCCACATGTGGCCCTCCAGCTCTTGCTCAGACTTCCTACTCACATGCTTTAGTTGTAACACCTAGTAGTGAAGGATGATGGAATTGCAGTCTGACAACAACCAGAGGGCCACATGATCCCTATCTTTGATTTAGGGTATTGGTTAATAGTATAGGCCAGATCCAAGGGGATATGTATACAAACTCTTATTTATCTATAAAGGTATACCTCTTCTTAACATACCTTACAGAATTGCTGAGCTAATAAAATAGGAAAAAACACACTTGTATAACCTTCTGTTTTTTTTCTGAAGACAAGTAGGACTGCTTTTAAACTGTGCCCTGTTATCTTAAATTGTTTAGGTTTAGTTAGGCAGGCTGGTACTTTCTAGAGAGGTTTTGTATTATTGTTCCTATAATGCTTGACCATTGGCTCGCTGACTTAAAGGGAAGATAGTTACAATTCAAAACACCCAGAAGGCACTAGATTTCTAGTTCTTCACCAGCAGTTGAAGAACAATATACCTGGGGGTCCGAGGTACATTTTGGACTGCAGCTCCCAGAATTCTTGGTAGCATTGGGAATTGGGCTTCTGAGAAGGGTAGCACAAGACCATTTGGAGAGCCATGGTTTGAGAACCACTTCCTCTACTAGGTCTGGGAATAAAAATGCCCTCTAGGTGTGGTTGAACTGACATTCCTGTCCCCCCAATCAGCATAAGACAATGGTTAAGGAGGATGGGAGTAGTGGTCTTAGAAGATCAGGCAACAGCATCAACATATTGCTCTTGAACAGGAAATTCTGGCTAGCTTTTCAAACATGGAAATATTTGGAAAACAAAGGAAGTTTTACCGGGATCTTGTTTGGATATTTGGCCCGGATGTCAGTTGCTTCACGTATCCGAGTAGCTAGAAATAGGATAAAAACAAATGTAAGGAGGCAGAAAAATATCAATGGAAGATGTATTGTCCAAGGCTTTCATGGCCGGAATCACTGGGTTGTTGTAGGTTTTTTCGGGTTATATGGCCATGTTCTAGAGACATTCTCTCCTAATGTTTCGCCTGCATCTATGGCAAGCATCCTCAGAGGTAGTGAGGTCCTCACTATCTTTGATGAGTAGATCTACATCCTCATACTAGTGTTTAGTTTAACTGTTCTTGTTATTGGAGTGCTTTTCTCCCATAGGAATGTTTTGCTCCACGCCCTCCACTAAAACAAGCTCTCCTCCGCAAATAATCTGTCCTTGTTTATCTCGCCTGAGTTTTTAATCTGTTTCTACCCAATTTTCTTTTATCCATTACATGTAGCTCGCCCATGTTACCATGATTGTGTTTATTGTAATTTTATATTGCTATGTTGTTTTTTGTTTTATGTAATTGCGTTATTATTGTTTATTATTTGCGTTTCCAGTTTTGTTTTTATTTCATGTAATTGTTGTTTTGGGCTTGGCCTCATGTAAGCCGCACCGAGTCCCCATTGGGGAGATGGAGCGGGGTACAAATAAAGTTTATTATTATTATTATTATTATTATTATTATTATTATTATTATTATTATATAACCCAAAAAAACCTACAACAACCCATCAATGGAAGACATTGGATTTAAATAGATAAGAGCTACTAGTTTTACAAAAGACTAGGCCTTAGCAGGTATTATACTTAGCTAGCAAGCTTCCCTCACTGACTTTGGGTCAACACAGCTGCTGGGTTTTAAGACTCCCAGTGTGAGTTGGACATGAAGGCTGTCATTCTGAGCACCTGCCCTGCAAATTTTACCATTAGTTCTCTTGGTAAAATTTGAGCTGGGGGTCAGTGGAAAGAAGTAAAATGAAGAAAAGAGAGAGGGGGGGGGAGTGTTTTGAGAGCAATGAAAATATAAGGATATGTGCAGAACAATACTGGTGGAGAGCAATTCTGATTGAAAAGAAGGTAGTGAAAAACCAACAGTGGAGGAAGGTTGATAGGTTACAAATGGTGCTTGTGAGGACTTGCAAAATTAGCTAGTTTAAAAGAGCTAGCCAAAATACCAATTCCTCTATGGAACCCCACTACTACCCCTTCCCTCTTTGCCACCCATTAGTTGTGGATTATTCTGTCCTTAGTTCTTTTACCTAAACGTTTCCTTTGCTTGAAAGGGCGATTCTCACTTTGGTTCCACTCCATCTTTGGAAGGACTGGGAAAAATAACCTCTCACTGGAGAAGATAGATGCCAAAAAGAAACTTGACCCAAACCACTCCCTTTAATAGAAAGCTGAGCAGAGCACCTGGTCAGGAATGAGGTGGGGGTGGAGTCTTCCTGAACCAGAATGATAGATAGATTCCAGCTTGTGAGAGTGAAAAGAACTACAGTTGATTTGAAGTCATTACCATCTCTTGATTTATGCCCCCCCCCCTTTATGGAAAAGCCCAAATTCCATTTCTCTTTAAACTGTAGCCCTGGCTCTCTAGAGCAGTGTTTCTCAATCTGGGGGTTGGGACCCCTGGGGGGGGGATCACGAGATTGTGTCAGAGGGGTCACCAAAAATCATCAGTAAACACAGTATTTTCTGTTTGTCATGTGGGGTTATGTTGAAAGTTTTGGACTATCACTCCCACAATCCCTTGCCATTAATCATGGCAGCTAGGGCTTGTAAGAATTGAAAGCAATAATATTTGGAGACACAAAGCTTTCTCAATCCCTATTTAATACATTGGTTCTGTGCCCAGTTGTGTGGAAGTAAGTCCCAGTGAATCAAGGAGAATGTGTAGTTGAATGAGGTAGCACAAGGCTATATCAAGGATGGGAAGTGTGTGGCTTTACTGATGTTGTCAAACTGTATTTCCCAGCATTCTTTACCACTGATTTTGTTGGCTAGGTCTGCAGGAGCTTGTAGTTTAATGATATTTGGAGGGTTGCATGATCGCTATCTTTATCTTACATATACAAAGCCCTCCCAAAATCTTCAAAATCTAAGGCAGTGGTTCTCAACCTGTGGGTCCCCAGGTGTTTTGGTCTACAACTCCCAAAATCCTAACTTACCAGCTGTTAGGATTTTTGGGAGTTGAAGGCCAAAACATCTGGGGACCCAAAGGGTTAGAAACAATAATCTAATGGAACCTTTGTGTAAATGATAGGCGGAAACACAGAACCATATTGGACAGCCGTGGCCTTCTAGATGTTGTTGGACTTTAGCACAATGATCAAACACCATTGATCACGCTGTCTAGGACTTATGGGAATTTTAGTGCAAGCCTATTTGGTATAAGAACACAGCTGTCCACCATTTCCTGTACACATTTGCCCAAACAGCCAACCCCAAACCGAGTAGGTTTACTCAGAAGTAAAAATGACTGAATTACCTTAAGTGGGGCTTGTTCTTTTGTAAATGCATCTAGGATTGCAACCTTAAAGGAAACTATGTGATCATAAAAACAAAAACAAAAAAAGGTGTATGAGGGAAAATGAACTTATTTATTTTGGCAAGAGCTTTTGTGGATTTCAGTCCATATCTGCAGACGCATAGATGAAGTACAATGTTAAACCACAGGGTCTTAATCTCACTCCCAGACCTATATAATCTTACTTTAAAACCTTTGACTTGATGTTTTACTCCATCAGAGAGATTGAAGAAGTGGGTTCAGACTGCAGAAGCCAAAGGCAAAATAAGCAAGTTAACCTCAAAGGTGCTGTTGGATTCTTCCCTCCATCCCCTATAAAGCTGAAACAGAGTAACACAGCTATTGCATGCATCTTTTGTTTTCAGTTTTACTATCATGCCATACTGGGCTTCCATCAGCCAATGCAGGACAGGAAGTTGCAGAGGAAATGCATACAACAGACCTGCCACCTCCAAGGGGTCATCTTCAGCAATGTAATAAGAATCAATTGATGTCCATAGTATGACAATAGCTCTTGTAAATGTCAAAATGTCCCAATTTGTACTTGTAGAACATTGGCTCATTTGATGCGGCTACAGGTTTTACTCAGATAGAAAGCCTGCCCAGAAGTTGATAATGACAAGTCCTATCATCCTCAGCCATAAGCCATGTTGCTTTGGAAGGATGAGATCTGGAGGACCTAGAAAACACCTAGAGAAAGACATTTTCTAGGTCTTCAGAAGCAGTTCTAGGGTATACTTCAGCCAGAATCCCTGGACTTTGCTCCTTTCAGGTAGGAAAAGAGGGTTTAATATTATGCAAAAAATCATATTATACAAAACTTCTTGGAACATATCCCTCATGTAATACATAGGCTTGATGCATTGTAAGCCATAGAACAATAGTCCAACTGTGACTACATGGGAGAAACATGCTTTATGTGCTCAGGTGTCACTGGGATGTTCTCTAATGCAGTATTTAAAGTGGTGATCTCTAAATTGATGCCAGTCCCTGAGTCCAGGTTTCAGGAAAGAAGAAACAATAGGCATAGATACGGCACCTATCCCTCATGCACTGGAAAACAATAATAAATGGTCCCACATGTCAAATAGCCTGAGAAGCACTGCCTGAATGCATTTTAAATCAGTACAGGCCATTTGGGACTATCTAGTCCATATCAGGCTGTTTGTCCAAGAGGAGATATGCCATTCCTTTGGGTAATTGAATTGGATTGCTGTCATCAGTCATATTTCACTAGTGCAATGATGCAGCACTACTAAGGCACAGGATTCCACTCACCCCCCTGCTTTTCTGGTTTGCATAGAGCACAATGCTTGTCGTAATCCAATCCTGCAGTGCAAAATACTATATGGCAGTCACCTTCACCAGAACTTGTAATTATCTCTGGGTTGTACTGCTTCCATACCATCAAGGAAGCATCAAATCTCTCATTAAGTTAGCGTCACAGCTGCAAATTTTGAAGTGAAGCCACTCCTTCTGGCAACATCCATATTCATGTCTTCAAGAAGATTTGTATACTCAACAACCCCTGTATCCAGGACTTTCCATGGAAACATGAAACTTCAAATGATAGCAAACCTTATTGAAAGAGACCACTCCAAATAGAATACCATAGAGCAGTGATTCTCAACTTTTGGACCTCAACTCCCCAAAATCCTAGCCAGCTTACCAGCTGTTAAGAATTGTGGGAGCAGAAATCTAAAGCACCTGGAGGACCAATATTGTGAACCATTGTCATAGAATCATGATGGAGGGCCTAGAAACTGCCTACAGCAAACATCCCTCTAGCATTTCTAGGTCTTTAAGGATGACTCTATGGTCAACTTACAGCAGAAGCATACCACGAGGCCAAGAAAAGGCCTAGGAAGAACATATTTTGATGTGATTTATATTTATAAATTTATTTAGAGTATTGGTACTAAAAGGCTCTCAAGGCACTTGGACAATTCTTTGCCCTTAGGTCTATAATAATAAGACACAAAGCACAAGGAAAGGAGAATGGCAGTGGGGAGAAGGGATTAAGGACTATACCACAAAGTGCATAATCCCAATCTCTGATGCCCTTTACATACTGGTTCCTATGGGTCCCATCACATAATGCATGGTCCATTTCGTAGATAACCCATATTTGATGTGTGTCTGCAGGTCATTGACACATCACTCTCTGTTGACAGAGCATGTCTTGTAGTGCAAAATACATTTAAAAAGCAGATTAACAAATAATGGTGTTTGCATGGCCTGAAGTGGTTTATCAGATCATGGATTTCCCATTGAAAGAAGTAGATGAACATGTAGTGGGGCTTGTGTTGCCAGAAGAGAATTTTAAAAGTGTGGTGTTCCCATTAAAAGAAGGGGTTTAAAGACCATATGTGATTGTTTCCTTTTTTTTAAAAAAAAAAAATGGGACTGCACTTCTGCATTTGGATGGAGGTCATAAACCTGCATAATTGTGCAAGATTGATCAAAATAAATAAATAAAATACAAAACAGGGAAGACTCTGACATGGATTGGGACTCCCATGGATTGGGAGGAGTCATTTTGGGGAGAGGAGAGAAAGGGTGAAAAAGGGGCAGATGTGGAAAGTGAGATAAGTCACCAGGTGGGAACATTAGGTGCGGGAGAGGGAGAGAGGATATGGCAGGCAAGGCAAGGCTAGGGGGTTGCTCTGACTCCCCCCCCCTCTCATTTCTCTCGCTTCCCCAAGCTCAGACTGCTTTTCTTGGCCAGAGAAGAGACGGAGAGTCTTCCTCCTCCTTCTCAACTCCTGAGAATGAGGGGAGAAGGGGCTGAGATAGGATACCTTGGATGTAAATCTCTCATTTCCTCACCACCTACACTCACAGACATACACTCATCTGGGCACACTATGCTACCCCCAAAGACTTTGGAGGGTCTCCCCTTTTTCTCTCAGATCTTGGCTGGGTTCTTTTTTGCCCCTCAAAAAAAGACCCAGATATACCCTCTGGAAAACCTGGGCAATGCGATAAGTCAAAGGCGCATTATTTTATGGAAAGGATAGATCCCGGTGTGATGGAGGGAGTATGTATCTAGTCTTCACTGATGACCTTATCAGATGGGCAGGAGGGACAGCGAGTGAAAGCAGGGAACAGTGGAGGGAGCCGTCAGGCTCTGTTTCCTCCCATCAGGGTCTGTATTCTTTCTTCCCAAGTTGTCTCCTTTTTCTGCTTCCTCTTCGCCTCCTCTTCTCTTCTTCAATGAGGAGTTGGATAAACACCCACCTCCTTTGGGCTACATTTCTCTCTGCTGCCAAAATGGAGCCCCACCAGGAGTGGCCCTGTGTCATGTGATAGGCTCCATGGGACTCCATTCTGGCATCAGAGTGAAGATGTTTCCTGTGGTGTGTGAGATAAGGTCCTAAGTCCAGAAGATATAACTGTTCTTCTCTCCTTTAGAGGTGAGGAGAGAAGAAGTTAGGATGGAAGGGTAGCCTTTCGTCTGCTGCTTTGCATGTTCTGGTGAATGCCTGAAGAGAGCTTTTTATTAGTCTTCTCAAATCCAAGCAGATATCAGCACTGTACCTTAATATTGGGGTAGAAAAAAATGGGCCTGAATGAAACCCCACATTAGTTCTCCTCTCACTTTTATCTCACCCAATGCTTCCAGACTTCTGAAAACAGCATCAGAGCAGGCCACAATAAACTCTCCTGTCCTTTCCCCGCTTGCTTCAAAGTAGATGGTTAAGTCAGACATCTCTTGTTCTTGGTTCATATTAATTTTTGAGGATCCTTAGAGAATTTCTGAGTGTTATTAAACCACAGAGAA